CTGTCCTCTACTTGTTACCTGTAGTAATGGCACCTGTTTGACCTTGTTATCAGTATAAAAGACAGCTGTCCACAACCTCAAACAATCACACTCTAAACTCTACTATGGCCAAGACGAAAGAGCTGTTGAAGGACACAGAAACAAAATTGTAGACCTGCACCAGGCTGGGAAGACTGAATCTGCAATAGGCAAGCAGCTTGGTGTGAAGAAATCAGCATGGAGGAATGGGCCAAAATACCAGCAACAGTGTGTGAAAACCTTGTGAAGACTTACAGAAAACGTTTGACCTCTGTCATTGCCAACAAAGGATATATAACAAAGTATTGAGATGAACTTTTGATATTGACCAAATACTTATTTGCATGGAGGAATGGGCCAAAATACCAGCAACAGTGTGTGAAAACCTTGTGAAGACTTACAGAAAACGTTTGACCTCTGTCATTGCCAACAAAGGATATATAACAAAGTATTGAGATGAACTTTTGATATTGACCAAATACTTATTTGCATGGAGGAATGGGCCAAAATACCAGCAACAGTGTGTGAAAACCTTGTGAAGACTTACAGAAAACGTTTGACCTCTGTCATTGCCAACAAAGGATATATAACAAAGTATTGAGATGAACTTTTGATATTGACCAAATACTTATTTGCATGGAGGAATGGGCCAAAATACCAGCAACAGTGTGTGAAAACCTTGTGAAGACTTACAGAAAACGTTTGACCTCTGTCATTGCCAACAAAGGATATATAACAAAGTATTGAGATGAACTTTTGATATTGACCAAATACTTATTTGCATGGAGGAATGGGCCAAAATACCAGCAACAGTGTGTGAAAACCTTGTGAAGACTTACAGAAAACGTTTGACCTCTGTCATTGCCAACAAAGGATATATAACAAAGTATTGAGATGAACTTTTGATATTGACCAAATACTTATTTGCATGGAGGAATGGGCCAAAATACCAGCAACAGTGTGTGAAAACCTTGTGAAGACTTACAGAAAACGTTTGACCTCTGTCATTGCCAACAAAGGATATATAACAAAGTATTGAGATGAACTTTTGATATTGACCAAATACTTATTTTTATTTTAAAGTCATGCAATTTTTTTTAAATACAGTGGGGCTTATTTTAAAGTCATGCAATTTTTTTTAAATACAGTGGGGCATCTTTTTAAGTGGGAGAACTTGCACAATTGGTGGCTGACTAAATACTTTTTTGCCCCACTGTATTTAAAAAAAATTGCATGACTTTAAAATAAACCTAATAAAAAAAAAATCATTTCCTGGTATTGTTCTGGTTCCAATCTGCATTTTGCCATGCAAATATATACTTGTTCACATAAAACCAAATGCTATTTATTTGACTGGCGTACTTTCTCCAGTCACTAAATTTAGAACTACAAACTAGCTGACTCTCAGCCAGTCACCATATTGCCACTGCACTCATCGAAGAAAGGAAGGGACCCAAAAAAAAGAGAGAGAGAGGGAGAGAAAATAATTAAATAATAATGATTTTAAATTGGAACTCAATGAGGTGCCTGGAAGCAAATCTCTCCCTCTCAGCCTCAATTCTGAAGATGGAAAAAGAAACACAAAGACTTCCTTGTAAAGATTATTAAAGTATGTGAACTGTTCTGAATTTTTTGGAAGATGGATCTGTGTAAATATGAAATAATTTTCCTTATTTTCTAAGATGGCTTTTAACAATTCCTTCTGAAAAATTATCCCCATACATTTGGTTCTTAAAACTGTATTTAACTCTGTATGGGGGTGGGAGATATCTATGCACACACACATGGTCCTTTCAGAACAGATAAATATTCATTATAATTTGAGAATACTTTTAGAATTGGAACATACTTTGTCTCCAAAATATTGGAAATGTAAAAAATTGGCCATTGTACTGATGAACAGTGATTCCAGTGTAATGGTACAATATGATAATTTTTGGAAATATAGTTACATATGTACTTCTCACATACATAAAATATACTTTTGAATAAATATCACTAAAGACTACAGGAGTGTTATGGCTAGCAGACTTGAGTAATCTGTTATTCTGAATATTTAACATACAATTTAACATACAATTGAATTGAATTAAATTGAATATTTAACATACATTTTAATGTATTTTAATATTTCATATACAATTTAACATACAATACACAATTAGGCTGGGTAATACTAGCCCTACCATGAGATAAAGCAAGGCAACTGTTTCAAAGGGATTCTGGATGTCAATAACAGCTAGAAATAACAGTAACAGTTAGAAAAAAAAGTATTCTAGCCTATGGGATACAATCTATCAGGAAGTTCTTTTTTGTAGGCCACACTGAAATAAATTGTTGCAGAACAACACAGGACAATACATCCGGTATAGGAGACTGTCTCAGCAGAGTGCACAAAGCAGAATCTGTTAACAGAATTTTCCTCCTGAAAGTGTTTCCTTTAGAAAGCCAAGTGGGAAATAGCATAGCAAGATGTGAAAAATAAAACCAACACACATGAACATCTTCAGCAAAATGGGCAGAATCCTACTGATTTTTGTAATAATTGCCTTGTCAAAATCCTGTAGAACTTATCTGGTTTCTTAACCCTATCTTGTACATTTCAGTTATTATACGAGCAGAATAAGAGATACACAATAGTCAGAGAAGAAAGTACCATGAAGCCTGAAACAAAGCCCTTGGTTATTACTTGAGATCTCTTTATGAAAGAATCTGTGCCAGCTGGCAGAAGAACAAGCAAAGGGCTGTTAGGTTAGTTGTTGATTCAGTAGTGACTTTAGGAAGGCAGCTGGTAACTTTTCAAAACAGGGAACAACAAAGATTGATGCATGGACAAAAGCTGACTAGAAATTTGGTTTGTTTCTGTTCCATTAAATTTTGGCTTAGGACAGCCATTAAAAAAATACAAGCTTAACTTGCACATTCTGTCACTTGAGTACAAATAGCAATTTGTATTTTTTCAGCAAGTGAAGCAACTAAAAAGATTAGCTGTTCTAGAAAGTAGCAAAATCTAGGAAATATGTCCAGAATAAGTCTAGTAGTTGCTTTGTATGGCAACAGGACCAACACAGGTTTAGCCCAATAGGCTTATTTGCCTTATGCCAATTTTATACAGGATTACCCTCTTGAAGAAGTTAATTGTACACTTACACTGGTTACTTTTCTGTAGATCTGAGCTGCATTCTGACATTCAGAATATGGGTATTCAGATGTTGCCATCTCTAACATGCACATTCCAAAAGCATAGACATCCACCGACTCATCATAATGTTCTTCATACATCTCAGGAGCCATGAATTCAGGAGTTCCTGAAATAAAAGACGGGAAAGCCCAATGTATTATTACAGCCACTTTAGATTGTTGTGGTCACTCAATGAATATTTCCCAAGAACTGCTTATTTCTATGTTGTAACATTCAATATATTAATAATGAATTCATTCTCCAAGCATGGATTTTTACCTACAAATGAACAGGGAGTACGATCTGCAGAAGCAGGATAGTTTTCTTTTTCTTTTAAGAAAAATACTTAAGAGGAAAAAAAAATCCAAACAGTTCAGTTAAGGTTGAGTGTGCATAGTGGTTACACAATGCTAATCTACTGTATTGCAGATGGGGAGGGCAGGAGGGGAGAGAGATGCTGCCAAGACCTGCTGCAAGATTTTTTGCAGGTCTTGTCACTCAAAATGTATATATCCTATTTGGTTAAAAACTTTCAAGGTGGGGAGAACCATTTTACTTTTAATATTTGAATTACCACAAAGATCACTGCCTTTTTAGTTCATCAGACTAATGCAAAAGATTCTGTTCCATCTCTACCCACTGTTTGAAGCATGACTAATGGATACGAGGGGCAAGGCCCTTTCAGTAACACAATGCTGTCCATAATGAGGCCCAGAAGGTCCCATGCCTCTCTATGCATGGTGATGAAAATGCCCTTTATATACTTTAGCTTGTAATCACTGATTAAAGGCAATATTGCTAATATTTCCTGCTGCTTGGTTGTCTTTTATTTAAATCTTTTCACATCTATTTTAACTTTTGGAATATTTTAATAACTATATATTATACAGTTAATCCTTTAAAACAATTTTAAAAGTTTGCCTTATAAGGAAAGCTGTTCAGAGTCTCTGAAAAACAAACATAACTTAATAAAATTTCACAACTGTTTTGAAATTTTAAAACCTCAGTTATTGATATGCATATTTTAGAACTCTTTTTCTAATTAAAATTATCAGTATTAGGTACTTGGGGTTAAAGAATACTAAAGCTATCAGTCCTTTTTGACAAGAAAAACATCAGCTGCTATTAAATGTTTTATTCTCAGAAATTATTTTTTTTATCAAAGAAAAAACTAACTTGGAGCTTCTTCACCTAGTAGTTTAGAAATATAGTACTGTATGGGAATGGTGTCTGATAACCAGCCTTGAGAATAATTCATTCTGAACTGTTTTCACCAAAGCACTAACTTTGCCTTATATGGCACTGTGGATTCCTGTCTTTATAGTTGACAAAGAGACATGCCACAAGCAGCTGCCCAACAAAAATACCAAACACATTTATATTCACCAATAACACTCTTAGCAAATGAAGTGCGCATTAAGGTGGCAAGTCCCAAGTCCCCAATCTTCACTGAACCAGTGGGTCCTGTGATGAAGATGTTGTCACATTTCAAATCACGGTGGATGATAGGAGGAGTCCTTGTGTGCAGAAAATGTAGCCCTTTTAAAATCTGTCGGCACCAGCTCCTTAAAACCTTTGGCTTCATGAGTTTGAAACGCTTTAAATACCTGTAAAGGAATCAGTATGATTGCAGAAGGCCAAAAAGCATTTATGCATCAAATTCATGCAGACATAGTAAAGTTAGTCAAGATTCCCTGAACCATAATAATCTTCAGAGGTTCCATAAAATGTTATACTCTCCTATCTCAGGAACCTCATAGTCCTGAATAGTATTCCAAGTTAGCATTATTAAATTGAGAGAAAGTGCAAACAAATACCTTATTACAAAAAATTTTCCCTAAAACTCTGGCAGTATAAATTGAATCCCAATTCATTCAGTTTTACAGATGTCAGAAACAGGCTAATTGATGTATCCATTTAATACAAGAACTTGTCAATGAGCTATGGCAGTTCATAAGAAAGACCCAGTAAACCGCTTAAAACTTGATCATGACAATCCTTCTACAGTCATTATAAACATATCTTCCTCACAAAGAAATCCTGTAAATTGAAATAGCACTAGTAGCAGTTCTGAATAAACCAAACGCAGAAATGAAAGTATTTGACATTTTAATATTTCTTATCTACCTTGCTTGTTACTGAACATTTTCTTATATCCAGGAAGTTATCAATTCATTTTTTACCAATGCTTGGGTAAGAGGAAGAAAAATCAAGAAACAGAAGACAAAATTTATATGGCATAAATTTCATCTAATCTATAGCACTCTTTTGTAAAGAATTTCTACTTACTTAATGGGGCTTTTGCATCTGCAATAAAATCATCCTAACACATCTTCATCCTTTCTTCACTATAACCAATCCATTTAAATCACTATAAATCATTTAGATGCATTGGAATATAAGCATCACACAGCAAATAAAAAAATAAATAAAATGTAAAGACACCAATCGGCTTGAAACCAGTAATTCTAGAAACACTGAAGCATTTAAAAATTTTATTTCATCTTCAACACTGCAATGAAACACTGTTCAAGTGACTTCTTTGCTTTTCCCTAGTCCTCCCATCTATCCCTCCACCCTTGCTAACTAAACCAGTCATAAAATGGTTGTGTTAGCTCACATACCTTATCATATTCTGGTACTGTTTTATTTATTCCATCCACCATATAAGGTAGGCTTAAAATAGTGATATACCTAATAAGTATTATGATTTATTGTAAATGATAATTGACCACCTCGTATTTAAACTTAACACTACTTAACTCATGTACCTCATGTACTTCCATGAAACAGATTTTATACAAACTAGTTAGCAAGCAACTACAATTCATATAACCAGCTGGATACTTTCATATATTTTAGAAGTATCATAAAATGACTTAATTGTAAAGTCTGCTGCATACTGTAGATACCGAGTTGGCTAACTAATAATTAAACAACAATATAGTAAGTGCCCAAAACACTACTAGCAATTGTGGACATTCATTCAAAAAAATCTTATATGAAATTTCTGAAAATATTTATTCCGTGAATGAGAAAATCAGGAAATACATACGTTTTCAGTGTTCCAGATGTCATCAGCTCAGTTACCAATACAATACACTTCTTTCCTTTAACCGTTGATTCCCATGAATCATAAAATCGGACAATGTTGGGGTGTTGTAGCCCCTTGAGCATTTCAGCTTCTTCTTTAAACCTCTGTTGTTCTGCTTTGGTCAGCTTCCTGTCCTAAAATTATCAGAACAAGTACACAGAATCATTTGGTCATCTGCAAATGACAATGCTACCACTACTAATATTTAATCAATTTTATGGCAGCATTTAGAAACCAGGTATATATAGACCTTGCTGTTCTGTTTTAAACACAGACTGAAGAAGGCCAAATACTAGTGACATATCAAACAAATCAACAAAACACAAGTATATACACAGCTGTGACACTTAAATTAACATTTAAAAGGAAAAAGGAGAGAAAAGGAAAGAAAGGTCTAAAAAACTGTAACATACACAAAGCAATTTACTAAATCACTCAAAAGTTTTCTTCCTTTTCTTTTGTCCCCTACCCCCCAAACCTGCAAATAACAGATATTAGCAATTTAGGAGTCACAGCCCTGAGTGCTCCTACCACCACTGGGACCACTTTGGCCTTTACTTTCC